TCTCTCTCTCTCTCTCTCTCTCTCTCTCTCCTCTCTCTCTCTCTCTCTCTCCTTCCCTTTAAAATCTAAATACACAGTTACGCATGCAATGCCTATTGATTCAGCAGCTTGAGGACTTTGAAACATTAAGCTCTGAAAAAGATAACAGCTTTCATCTGAAGAGCAGCTTTACTCAGTACCTAAGTAAAAACTTAACTTATATTTAAAAAAGTTACCAGAACTATGAAAATGTCAAAGTAATAAAATAAGTGACTACAAACCTTCCCAAATAAAACACGCTCTCCCAAATTAAATAAGCATGTTTTCAAGGCAGCTTATTTGGCTTATTAATTTCTGCTGCCCACCTTGTCTTTTGTTGCTTTGAAAAATTCAAGTGGGCCCCATCTACCTGCACCCTCCTCCCCATCTACCTATTAATAAGATTTCACCATGTAAAACAAGCTAGACAATTACTATGCCCTTGTTGGCTGTGGTTAAGACTTAATTGGATGGCTGTGTTCAATTTTGAGCATCATGTTTCCAGAAAGAAAAGAAAAAAGTGGTAAGTTGGATGCAGTTCAAAGGAAAGCAAGGGAACAGATGAAAGCGGCTTGGAAAATAAGACCCAGTTGGGAATGTTAGGGCAATTCTGTGCATTTGCAGCTCACTGCAAAGATGGCTGGGAGATAATAGAAGGCTTCTGATGAGTCAATCCTGGCTCAGTCTCTGAGGGCATTGCCACAAGCAGGGAAACGTGGATGGAACTGACGGAGCCTTCTACAGCTTTTCTTCCACAGCTTGCAGGTCTAACACTGGACCTGGTGTGTAGTAGGTGTTCAATAAAACACTCACATCTTTTGAAGGCCCCCTAGAGAGAATAAAGACTAAAATGAGGTTACTAAACCTATTTGCACTGAGGCTTACAAATTTCATTCCTAGAAAGGATTGGATTGTTGGGTTTGATCCCCAGCAAGAATTTAGGAATGGTGAAATCAATTTTCTCATTAGGCCAGTTATAGATTAAACAACTTGCCCCAAGGCTCCTGTCAACACTGCCAGCTCTTGATTCCCTGTACTTTCAGCCACATTCATCATGTCACTCAAAAATGCATGCCTTGTTCTGGCCCCCAAGGTAAAGTTCCAAATCCAGAGGTGCACTGGTCTCTGCAAACTCGCCCAGACATGCTTTCCTCATCTCTCTGCCTCTCCTTCCCTCGCTGACTCTATATACTCAGCCAGACTTTACACACTGCGCCCCCCCCATTTTTCCCAGTAGATAATGTCTCAGGACAACACCCATCTAAATCTCAGCACTGCAGCTTACTATTCACATGACCTCAAGCAGATCACTTACCTTCTCTGAACCATGTCTCATCATGTATAAAACGAGAGCAGCAACAGCTCCTCAGAGTCTGAAATAAGATCTTGTGTATCAAATACTCAGCACTGGGCCTGATGCATGACTCTTCCCTGTCTCCCTGTCTACCTTGTTTATCTTCTGCTTTTTTTTTTTCCAGTTCACCAACTGAGGATCAGCTCAACTCTAAACCGACTCACAAAGCCTCCCTGAATGCTACAGTGCACAACAATTTTATCCCAGTTCTAAAAATGAAAAGCATACCCTCTTGGCTGGCTCGCTGGACAGTATATTACATTCCCAACTGAAACATCTACTTCACTCTCTTTAACTTGTCCCTTGGGCTCAGCTCTGCGTGCAGTAGAAGGAGGTATAATATAGTTTCAACCCCCAAGAGGGGGGAAGGAAAGGATGTGTTTGTGTACATTTATAGAGCATTACCAGCTACATTGCTAGAACATGCGCTGGTACCAGCCATGCTACCAGGAGTTTCCATGTATCATTTTCCTTCTAATCAGACAGCCAGCAGCAGTGGCTTTGAACCATGACTGTGCACTACAATTGCTAGGAAGGAATGTTAACTATGTGGATGTCTCAGGTCTTAGCCTTGACCAATTGAGACACAATTTCTGGTGGGGAGGCTTCAGTATTTCATGTAAACTCACCAAGTGATGCCATGAGCTCCCAACCGTGAGAACCTCTGGCACATAATTTAATATGGAAAACACGAACTTGTTAATACATTCTCAACAATTTATCCTGATGATATGAAGCGGTCTTATAACCTCTACCTACCTACATACTCATCTATTTTTCATAAGTCCATTCACTCCACATATGTTTTGAAGTTTCTTAGGTGAACAAAAACTGCTAGGTGCTGAAAAACCACACAGAGATAAATCAGATACAGAGGTTCTGCCCCTCGAAAGGCTCCTTCATTAGTAGAAAAGGATGATCTTATATTCTTACTCATAATACAGCTAGAAAATTATAAACGTTCCCCAGATATACCAGCCACCATGCAATGACATCCTCTAGTTGAGGACTTAGGTCAGACAAAAGAGAAAACCTGCATTCTATCCCCTCAGGAAGAGAAAGGATTGAGTTTTGTTGAAAGGCATGGTGTTCTTCGCAAGAAGTATCCAAGCAAAGGCCTAGAAGTGGGCAACCACTAGGTAATCGCAGGGAATCACGGACGGGAAAGCCCTGGCTTGGGGTCCCATTCTCCACCTGTGCTAAGATGAAGCTACGCATGCTCTTCTTTCAGGCTTTACTTGTGGCTGTTGGCTTCTCCACAGAACCCTGAGCATGTGCCCTGCAGCTCTCTTCGACCAGACACAAAACTTCATCACACCCTGCTGTCTTTTCTGCCCACCTCCAATCTCACTGAGGACTCAGAATGCCTAAGTGAGCCCTTTCGGAGACTTTCCCCTATTTGAACACCCCCGTGGCCTCTTTCTCTGACCATCAGAGCCATTTACTAACCATTATCCTCAGCAGGTAGGAGAGCACGTGTCTCCCTAGGACATGGGCTTTTACAAAATTCT